GCATTAACATTATAAAACCCACCGGCCATGTCTCATGATTCCCTCGGACTCCACCCCACTCAGCTAGCACTGCATCACTGAGGGCACTCTCAACACTGGGTAGGCCAGCCCGGCCCATGAACCTAAGGAGGATCTTTCAACGGCTGGGCCTGATGAGCAGCTGGCAGGTAGCAATAGGTCTAGGGGACCCTGAGCTTTTTGCTAAGTTGCCTCAGGCCCACTACAGGTGGCAGCTGGCCTTGATTCACAGTGAGTCCACCCCCACATGCCTTCAGGTCCAGCATAGGCAGCAGCCAACCACATAGAGCTTTGTGGCTCCTACCAGGTAGCTGCAGGCTGGTCACAGGCAAGGATGAAATTGGTCTGCAAGGGAGCCCTTCCCAAGAGACACAGAAACAAAAACACAGGGGCCAGCTTCAGACAACACCAGAGCACTACCTGGTTAGCCCCACAAGCAGCAAAGACTCAAAGGGGGGGTCTCAACAGGCACAAGAGCAAATCCTCCTCTAAGGGGTCAACCCACACACAGCAGATCATACACTGTGGGCAAGCCAATCCTCACATTCAGTCAGTCTGGGGTTAATCCCATCCACCGATGCACCAACAGCAATCAAGCTCAGCTATAACAGGAGAACACATACAACACACTCAAGGGACACACCTGGAACACATGTACAAGAGACCTGAGAGACTGCACCACTGGACCACCCAGGACACACACTGCATAAGGCCACCCAGCAAAAACTGAGACACATGGGATATTTACCTAATACATAGAAGCAAATACAGAAAGGCAGTCAGAATGAGAAACAAAGAAACATGTCCCAAATAAAAGAACAGGAGAGAACTCCAGAAAAAGAACTAAATGAAATGGAGGCAACCAAACTACCAGAGACAGAGCTTCAAACACCATTTATAAGAATGCTTAAGGAACTTAGAATTTCAACACAGACATAGCAACCTTAAAGAAAGACATAGAAACCATAAAAAAGAACCAACCAGAAATAAAGAATACAATAACTAAAATGAGGAATACACTAGAAGACATCAACAGCAGATTAGATGAAGCAGAGGATCGAATCAGTGATTTAGAAGAAGACAAGGTAGCAGAAAATACCCAATTGGAACAACAAAAAGAAAAAAGAATAAAAAAGAATAAAAATAGTTTAAGAGACCTGTAAGACAACATCAATAATAATAACATTCGCATAATAGGAGTACCAGAAGGTGAAGAGAGGGAGCAAAAGATTGAGAACCTCTTTGAAGAAATAATGACTGAAAATTTCTCTAGCCTGGCAAAGGAAATAAACATACAAGCCCAGGAAATGCAGAGAGTCCCAAACAAGATGAAACCAGACAGTCCTACAACAATAAACATTATAATTAAAATGGCAAAGGTTAAAGACACAGAGAGAATCCTAAAAGCAGCAAGAGAAAAACAACAAGGGAGCTCCTATAAGACCATCAGCTGATTTCTCATCAGAAACTTTGCAGGCCAGAAGGGTGTGGCAGGAAATATTTAAAGTGATGAAAAACAAGGGCCTACAACCAAGACTACTCTGCCCAGATAAGCTATCATTTTAAATTAAAGGAGAAATAAAGAGCTTCCCAGGCAAGAAAAAGCTAAAGGCATTCATTACCACCAAGCCAGTATTACAAGAAATGTTAAAAGGATTTCTTTAAGTAGAAGAAAGGAGAAAACAAACAATCAAATTTTGTATGTTTAACATAAAGTATTAACATAAAGTATGATTTATTTTTGCCAGTCAGATTGTTGACAATAAAAAGATTATTGAAATACACAGTGAGTGATGTCAGAATTAGGACATTTTCCCTTAGAAGAGAATGGGAGCACACGTTACACTATTTAGCAGTACATATCAACACTGAAAAATAAAGATGCATTAACCCAGCAATTCCATAAAACACAAAGAAAAAAGTATAAGGATGTGCATATTGAAATAGCATTATTTGAAAGAAGGAAATAACTGGAAACAAAAAAAACTCTCCTTCAACAGAAAATTGTTAATTTAAATCATGGTACATCTATATTATGTAGTACTACTTACCTGTTAAAAAATATTCTGTACAGATTAACATGGACTATTGAAATAAAGAAATGCAGACCACAACAGCATGTCTAGTATGATGTCATTTATTAAAACTTAAATTATATAGGTGTATACTAATATAGGATTGGCTCATTTAACATGGGAAAGTTAGCACCACAACAAAGTGCATATTGTTAATTTGGGTTTTATCAATGAGAACTTGAAAATAATTCAAATGAAATTAAATATGAAACTCTGAGAGAGAATACATATCTTTTTATAAGTAGAAATGTAAAATGTTCTCCAAATTCAAAATATAGTTTCTTTAGCTTTCAATAATTCTGCCTCCATTTTACTATGAATAAGATGTATGTAAAATGGTATTTTCATTATTCTTTCATAAAGTATTTATATTGTTAACTGAAATGTATATCTTAGAAAATAAGAAATTTTTGAGAACCTAAAAACCTTCAAACTACTTTCTTATCATTGCATGTCATATATTTATCTTGTCACTTTCAGTTGACATTTTTGCAGCACAGAAAGATGGCTTTGCCAGAAATTCTTCACATAACTCCCTATGGAAGCTTTGAACAGAACACTTGGTGTATAAACTTATATCTCCAGAGTACTAAGATTTAATTTTAGCCAAGATTCTGATTTACTGTCATGTTTGGGTTCAAAGTGAAGGGACTGTTCCCACTTGGAGAAAAAGAAAAGAAATGTGGTTTAATTTTGTTCCAGTGCTATAATAGTACTTCAGGTTTTCTGACAGTTTGATAGAATTCAATGGCATGGGGTATATCAAGGTACACATATTCTAGCGTAAGGATACTGAAAGTGCAAAGGCAAAAACATATTTCAAACATCTTCATTTATTAGAAGCAACAATTTCAGAAAATGCTGCAATTAGGCAATGCCTGGGCATTATACAGAAATGTCTCATTTCCTGTATTCTTAAGAAACAAGTTTTTCACTTTTTATTTTATAGTGGTTTTTTTCATCATCTAAAATTTCTATTAATTGCAAACAACATGTGGCATGTATGTGGCATTCATTCTTCCTTTTCTTTATAGATCGCAAGATACATAGAGGAATGAGTCCTAAATGTTTTCATTCCATGATGTTTTTAAATACTAAATTAAAATAAACATGGTTCCAGTTTGAATTATATTAGGAAAGCAAGAATGAAATATTTTCTTTAACCTAATGTGGAAATCATTAGTGTTGTCCACCAATTATTTTCACTTCTCTTCCTGGGCATATTATAGTATTGCACTTACCTGCCCCCCTTGAAGTTAGTAGGGCCATATCACTTGCTTTGGCTAGAGGTGTATGAGCAAAAGTAATTTGAGGTGTGACAATTAAGTTTGAGAACTTGTTGCAAAGATGTTGCTGACCTTTTTGATATCAGAGGGATTATACATTATGAATTTGTACCAACTGGACAAAAAGTTAACCAAGTTTACTATTTGAAAGTGCTAAAACAGCTGTGCAAAGAAGTTAAACAACCTGAACTTTTCACCAACAATTCATGGCTCTTGCATCACGACAATGTACCAGCTCACACGGCACTGTCTCTGAGGGAGTTTTTCACCAGAAAACAAATAACTGTATTGGAACACCCTCCCTCCTCACCTGATCTGGCCCCCAATGACTTCTTTCTTTACCCTGAAGATAAAGGAAATATTGAAAGGAAGACATTTGGATGACATTCAGGACATCAAGGGTAATACAATGACAGCTCTGATGGCCATTCCAGAAAAAGAGTTCCAAAATTGCTTTGAAGCATGGACTAGGTGCTGGCGTCAGTGCATAGCTTCCCAAGAGTACTTTGAAGGTGACCATAGTGATATTCAACAATGAGATATGTAGCACTTTTTCTAGGATGAGTTCGCTAACTTCATTGTCAGACTCTGTATGTGTTACCTTCAGGTGGAAGCTCTAAGAGCTAGCACATGAGCCACCATGTGTTTTTTCCCTGTAGCATGGCAAATAGCAACATCTAATATGGTGGCTGCTTTGTCATCTGAGGTCGCTGAGTGATTACAATAATAAGAGTTCCCCATGTGCGTGAACAGGAGCCATAGATGGGATACAAACCTTTGTGGGTCTATGGCACTGAGATTTTGGGGTTTATTGTCACATACTTTGGCTATCCTGACTGAGACAGCTAGGCCACTGTATTTTGGAAATAATCAGATTCCCATCAGAATTATGACCTACATAGGTAAGGTGAGACACAGGAAAAAGAAAGAAAGCAGATGTCACAGAAGAGTGGGCAGGAAAGGGACAGCAAAAGGTAATAATGAAAAACAAATTGAAATTCTTCCCATCTATTAGATAAAAATGGGAGTTTAGGTTCAAGAGTTCTAAGTCTTATCTGACCTTCCTGAAAATAACCACCCTTGATAAACACTAGTCCAAGTTTATTGTAACATCATTTGTTTGAAGTTTTAAATTAGTCAAAGCACTAAAATTACATGAGTTGCATATTGATGCAAGCAACAAAATATACATATCACTATTTAATCTCTTATACAATCCAACAAGTATGAAGAACACAAAATACATTTATTCACATGATATTCATCTACTGTTAAAATGTGTCAGTTAACAAATTGAAATCCAGCATTACTTACTAGGTGGTAAAATATTCTGACACCCAGATGAAGAAGTAAGAAAATGTGTATTTCCATCCCCTAAATTCTGACTTTAGGTAGTTTATTAATCTGGAGCAATGATGGTGATACAGGTGAAGCTAGCAACAAGTTCCACAAAAAGTTCAATCACTCTCTACGTATTTAACAAGTGCTCTTATTTGGGTTGTAAGATTAGGCACAACACCAACACAGGTTTTTCTTTTTAAGTCTGCAGATGAGCAAACAAGACTGTTAGTTACATAAGACAGATGTGTGTGTGTGTGTGTGTGTGTGTGTGTGTGTGAGAGAGAGAGAGAGAGAGAGAGAACTTTTAGGTAATACAAGTAAGTAGAAGCAAGTTTCTGCCTTTAGAAAAAAAAATATTTTAAGCATATGTCTATCATCTAGTTAAATCCATAGTAGAAAGTCTGATGTTTGGGGACACACCCACAGCTAATTATGAGTCAGCACTATCTGTGTTTGTATTCATAATCATAAAAACCTATGTACTATTGGGTTTCTTATTTTGTTCTCAATTTTAAGGTTCACTAACATCAGAAAAAGACTGCATTTTCAAGCTATTTGCCCAGAATAATTTGCAGAAATAAGATAACCAAATAGTATGAGAAGTTGCTTAGGTACTATTTTACCGAATGACAAGAGAAAGTCATTTACTCTGTTGGTCTAATTATGAATTTTAAAATAGAGCTTAAAACTTCAAAATTGGTAAACTTGTTGAACATTGTTTGTATTATTTATTTCCAGTAACCTGAATAAATACACTTCTACTTTGAACATTTGTATGAAAGTTATTGGGGGATTCTTCATTCTATTATTCATTATATAATAAATTACCAAACTATACTGTATAATATAATGAATAATACCAGTAATAAAATTCCAAAGCAGATATGCATATTATTTCATTTTCCTTGGATGAAAAAGCTAAAACAATGTAAATGCATTTTCTTTTACTAATTTTTTTTTTCAATTTTTGGTGTTAACTTCTTGGGTTAAACATCATCATAAAACCAATTTAGTTGCCCTAAACCTGTGCTCAGGTAATACAATCCTTCCAAGGTAGGCACAGAGTGAGTCCCCTGTCACTCCCCCAAACCTTGCACGCTCATGCTCTCCCACACATGGTCATTCCACAATATCTCCTTAATACAGATACACGTGGCTAGGGTGACATCACGGCACTAGAGCAACGATTCTGCCATTCGATGACAAGAAGCTGCAAAGAGAAGAGGCCTGGAATTCTCCATAAGAGTTTCTCCCCCACATCTGTCCCTGGTCACAACATATGGAAGTGCTCCCTGCAGCATCCTACCCAGTATAAGGAAGAAGGATGGAGCTTTGTTTCCTTGTGCCTCAGGTCACAGAATACCAACACTTCTAAATAGCTGTGAGAAATAGATATCTCCTTTAAATCAACTAAAAGTTCTGGGCTTTAAGTCCTCTTGAAACAGAAGAGAACAATAATGTAATAAAACAGCAGTCATAAATTGCAATGGCTTTTTTAAGCATATACACTGAAGATATAATATCTATATATATGCACACACAAATATATATGCATATATACATACATATATATCACAATAACGGTAGGTAATTGTCAGTTTAAATTAAAAGTGTACAAAAACTTCGCAATTTCATACTCATTGCGCACCAAGGATTCTTGCGATTCGATTTGGCATGTATTTATTGAGCATCTACTATGTGCTCTATAAAGCAGAGTAACCTAAATTTGTGGGATTAATCATTTACTGGTTTTTAATTAATTATATCATGTACCAGTGTGTATATGTGTGTTTTCCTTCTTTAAACTTACTGGGGGGAAAATGGTTGCCTTTAAATCTTCAATGAAGCTATTTGCTTAATTTCTTTAAATTATTCATGATAATTTTCCAAAATAATGACTTCCAATGTAAATTACCAGTCAAAAGCAAAAATCTGTGAACATAGTAACTTAAGCGTAATTGAACTGCACAGATTTCCCGGAGAATCTGAAATCAGTGTCACAAGGAAGATTAATTTTAACATGGACCTCAGTTAATGAAGACAATGAACTTTTTTCCAGAAATGCATTTCCCTGTTGTGAAGCAGAACTACTTCCCCTAGGCTCTGATGGACCCAAGACATTACTAAAATTCTTTGGGTTGAATTATACAAATAAGCAAAGACAAGGTCTAAAGTATTACTGGGAAATTTGGGGAGAGATTATTATCCCTTGATCTCTTGGTTAACCTTTAGAATGATTTCCAAATGGCTGTCTACTTGCCAGTCCTCCCCTTGACACTGTAGCATAGGCTTCAGAAGATGCAAATTTCATGAAGCCACTTTCAACAGAAATTTCTGATGTCCATGTGTGTGCATGTGTGCGTGCGTGTGTATGTGTGTGTGTGTAAAAGTGGAGAGCAGACGAAACACATGACCTACAGATAGCCTTTGTATACTATATATAGATTGTCTTTTGTTCTCTGACACAGAAATGACAACTCAAGCTAAAGCAAGCGCCTTTGCCAGTGTTCTTGCACCTATCACTGGGTTTAAGTTGCGGTTGTTTGCATTATCCATGGCAGAACGTCAAGGAACTGCTATAATGCAAATTGCTTATATCTGTGCTATGATAGAGCCTTTGCTTCTCTAAAAATTGTTACTGTACACTAGAGTTTTCAGAGGAAAAGGGGATTATTTGAAAACTGTGCAAATCTATGACTTACCAAGAAAACCTTCAAACTGACCTTTGTAATATTAAATGCAAGCAGCCATATTTATCAAATATGACAAGGATAGGCTCATTCAAAACAGGCTTGCAAGATTAGGCAACCTGCCAGCCACACCTGGTGTATACGGAGGTCATTATAAGCCACAGTGAATCTCATGTGACTTGATATATTGACTGAGGTTATATAATGAGGGGTTAAGACAGACCAGATAAAAAAATGAGGGTGCTCCATCTCATTGGGCCTAATCTATTGGGAACAGCTGCAGAGCAGTGACCCCAAAATAGCCATTTCATTGTGCAGGTAGCTTTACAATGTTCTTTGGCAAATAAGCCAAGTAAATGCTTTAAGATTCAACAGTCACTCATTCAAAAAGCACAAATAAAACAGATAAGCCTAAAATTGTTTTCAATTTGACTCCCCTGGCATTATTTCATCATGTTTACCTCCAGTTGACAAAACAAATGTGCAATTACACAGTTAATTTAACAAATTTCAAAAGCCAAATCTGACAAAAGTGCCCCCAAACTACCCGCTGAGATCTGAATTTTCCAGTTAGGCTTGATATATTTATACAATTAAGTAAAACTTCATCAAAATGTTTAATTTTTTTCCTCGACTTACACTGACTTACTGTCCAATTAAACTAGGTGCTTCCTGATTTATTTTCTCTGCAACTGGTGACTCAGAAATAGCAGCAACCTTTAAGGAATTTTTTATAGAGCTGAGCTCCCAAACACGTAAGCTGATGACATTCACTCCACAACAGCGTCTGGCAAGTTTGAAGAGGTTCTTAAGGACAGCCTTCCGTAGAAGAATATACACCCAGGGATCTAAGATTTGATTCCATGTTGCCATTCGGAGAGCAAAAAGCGTTGTTTCACAGGTCTCCATAGAATGATTTCCATTTATTCCAATGTTGGCCATAGTCACCTGCGAACAAACACCACAGAGAAATCAGTTGATAGACATTTTCTCAGTCCTATAGTTTTTATTTTAACTTAACTAGCTATGCTACATAGTATTCATTTCACCTTCTGTGAAGTGATGTTATGTTGCAAAATACTGACAAAAAGAAATGAACAATAGCAGAAACATTGATGCATACATCTGAATCCTTTGAATTCAAATTGACATCAAACCTACAAAATGATAACTTATATGGTAAGTCAAATGTGCACAAATAGAGTAACTCAAGAGAGGACACACACTGATACTAATAACCAACCTTTTTTTTTACTTCTGAGAATAGTAAGTTCAAAGCAAACACACATTTGTACATCTCAATGAAAAAGTTAAAGTATATTTATGTAAATAAAGTATAGATAAGCTAAAGCATACATACACTATAGATAAGATTTTTAAAATGAATTTAGAGTATCTGATATTAATTTGCACATGGCATATGATATTTTTCTGAAGTGTTACTTTTAGAATTTTCAGCTTGGTAACTACAATGATACCCATATCTTCTATTTCATTTTCCCTTTTCTCTATCTCTCATCCTAGTCTTAATTTAACTTGGCCAAAACACTCCAAAAATGCAACAGAACTTTCTAAGGGCTTTGAGGAAATGAGTTCCCCTCTGTACTACCCTTGAAATTTAATGTAGATTTTGATCTTATATGTCAATTTCCTGACCACCCCATGAAGTAAAAGAGATCATTTTGTGGAATAAGTTCCATAAATGGTCCCAGCTACATGTTAGAACCAGTTTAATCACTGAGCCCAGTTTTGACTTTCAAATAAATAATTGCAGAACAGACAAACAAGGCAGAGGGGGAGGGGGCTGAAAACAGTTTGGCGATAAAAATAAATAAATAAATGAGCAAAAGCTGAAACTGGAAAATTAAGGGAGGCTTGGACCATTATGCCACCAGGATTAAGAGAGGATGTAACAAAGCCTAAAACCCAAATGAGAAGAGAATCAAGTCTTCTTGGTCTTCTTCACGGACCATGATCAGAAGAAAACATCTTCATCTGGCCTGATGATCCTAATGGTGAAAGGATATCTGTCCCTTATCAAAACCTTCATTATCTACACAACAAAGTGCAAACGCCCTAGCTGGCTCCTCGATGATGCATGTGAAGTGCATCTCTACAATCCAACCTCCCCTGCAGATACCCTCTGCTCCAGCCGCCGTGAAGGCCTCACTTGTCCCAGATGTACTCTGCCCTTCTGAGCTTTGGCTTTTGTGGCTCTTTGTGTTGAATTCTCATTTCCCCTTCCTCTGCCTGACAAACCCCTACCCATCCTTTGAACCCCATCTTCATGAAACTTTCCCCAAATTCACTGAGATGAATTAGCAAGTAGCTCCTTCCTTTGTGCTCCCACAGCATCCTGTCCATACCCAGTTATATCACTGACCACACTGCAGGATAACTATGCACTGATTTGTATATCTACGAGCATCTCTTATTTTCATTTCCAATATCCAGAAAAAAGCTGACACCTAGGATGCACACAGCAAGTGTTGGAATGAGTAAAGTTGTATTATTTTTATTCACTGAGGCTATTTCTAGGAGTCATCAGAGAAACAACTGACTATTCATCACAATTGTCTAACATTTTGAAGCTTAAAATGTTTCTAAAAGTTTTAATATGATGGCACCCACCAGTGAAGGATTCCAACTGAGGTGGTTTGCTGTCACTAAAAAGGGTAGGACTTAAAGTCCATGCAGATCCCTTGGGAAAAGGTTCTTTCCCTTGGGATTCATTTATTAGGGGGATAATGGATCAAACTGCAGGCCTAAAGATTCTATAGCTCAATAAGGCCAAGCAATTTTCAACACAGAAAAAATCACAGTTACCACGCAACAGTGCCTGGGTCAGGCAGGCTCTTAGAACACTGCTCCCCAAGTTATTGAAGACATACACCTGTATGGGCCCAGTTTCTTTTAGAAGAAAGCAAAGCCAAGACCCAATTGGCAGTTAAATTGAGATATTTTCACTTTATATTTTTTCTTTACTCATCAAATATTTGCCAATTATCGGCAGATAATGTGCCAGGAAATGTGCTTGGCCCTGAGGGCAGACCAAGCAGGCATGGGCCTGCCTTCGTAGAATTTACAATCTATTGGCTAGGTTTGGGGAGGAGATCTGGTTCAAGGATGAGTGAACAAATATTTCTCTTGCCTCCCGAGTATTAAATGAATGCATTTCCTATTAATGACTAGGTGTGTTCCTGGGAATCTCAGGGCCCAGCCAACACACTGTTCTGCATGGTTGGGAACAGATGGTCAGTGAAATTGCACGGAACAGCTGGGCCTGCTTTAGAGATGTGCAAATCTAAAATGCCCGAGTTACATGTCACGCACCTCTCTGACTCTCCTCTTGCCTCTGCAATCAGCAGTGCATCACCAGCCATGAGAGGACAGTGAGGTCCCCTGCTGGGGGAAGCCAGTACCCAGGCAGTACCCAAGCGTTAACTCTCACTCTCTCCCTCCTTCCACCCCTAGCCCAGCCTGGGAGAGAGGTTATTCTAGGGCCCGGCTTGGAAGAAACACCAATCACTTAGCCACCAACAAAGATGTGGGTGGAATATTTACACAAAGCAATTATCGCTAGTACTGTGTTGATGGTAGTATATTATTGAAAATTTGGGACAACCTAAGTTTGCAATAAAAGATAAATTATGGTAATTTTACATACTGGGACAATATGCAAGCATTAATGTTTGTGATTCAGTATTAACTTTTTAAAGAGCAAGTTACGAAACTGTATTGACTATGTGATCCAATTTTGAAAAAAAAAATATGTAATTTTGTGTATGCATAGAAAAAAGACTGGGGTGTATTTCAGTGTTTTCATTGGTAAACTCCAGACAGTAGAATGACAAAGCATTTTGATTTTCCTTTGGTTTAACTCGATTTTACTAATTTTTTAGATAGATCATGCATTGCTTTTATAACTTGCACTTTTTTCACAATTCACTTATTGAAATATAGTATTGCACTAAAGAATCAGAACAAACATGGATTATTTATGCATATCTATGTGTATGTGAGTGAGGTGGCACAGAATTGCCTGAAAAATTCAAGCCCTGATAAGACTGGCACAAACAAGTGTGGGAGCGGGGGTAAGAATGAGAAAAGTCTGCCGTTTTCCTTGGGCTGTGTCAAGCTTCGCCACACAAGACATGAAAGCATTCTTCTCTGGCCAGGCGACACGACCTTGGTTCCAGAGAGTCGTGTATAGATTCTCATCACACACAGACTTTCATCTAGTTTGTAAGAATTATCTGGAATTATTATGTGTCATTTTCTAAAATATCTTTGTTTGGGCCTTTGCATGTTACAGTTGTTCATCTGTGTTAATGATTATTAGAATTCTAACTGAAAAGTAGACAGGGCCAAGGATTCAGACATTCCTTGGAAAAATCAATGAACTAACCTGATACCTCTAAGACACTCAACACTAACATAAGAGAGAAATATTGAGGTCAAAGAAATGTGTGGGGGAGAAGTGTATAAGCATTGTCAGTTGCAAAGAGCAAAATAGGTAACGCAATAAAATCTCCATTCACCTAGGCCACATAATACAATTATATCCATTGTTAAGGCCACCAAAATTAATGAATCTGTCAGGCTGCTCTACTCGTAGATAGCAGAGTTCATGTTCACTAAAGTTTTATTCTGGAAGTTATTCCATCATCCCACACATACCCTTAGTCTATATATCTGTTGGTCAGTACCAGGACTCCAGCACCTGTTCACCATTAAAAGCAATGGCAAATTCAAGAATTGTGCTTCTGTTCCTTTGAGTAATCATAGAAGTAAACCAATCCAGCAAAGAGTAGTTTTTGAGTGTCTGTTATGTCTAGGCATTGTGCTAGATGCTAATGACACAGAGATAAATCCTATCTAACATATGGTATATTTTGCTTGTTTATCTTTTCTTATTACTGTCTCTCACGCTAAAATAGACTCTTCTTGAAAGCATATGTTTTTGTCTGATTGATTCTCTGCTGTATCCCCAGCACCTGGTATACTGAAGGGCAGTCAATAGTCGTTGAATGAATGAGGTCCCTGTGAGGGGAGACTGACAAAAACAAAGTTATGATGTTGCAAGTAATAAAGACACATAAAACGTGTCACAGACAGGGCTATTTACAGCTAACCAGGTGCAGTCATTTAAAAGTGTAACTTTTTTCAGTTTTTCTAGGATGCCAAAACCAGTTATTCAGACTTGACTGATTTTGAACTTATGATGATTCCTCTGTAGTTTGTCTGAATTTCTCCTTGGCACTATTTTTTAAGGAAAGTTAAATGAATATATAATCAAAACCACTTCTGGTGGAATGTCCAACTTCTTTAGATACAAAACCATATATTTTAGAATATTATCAACACCTATTTTCATATGAGCGATGTCTATGACAATTATACATGGCTCTCATCTAGTCACTGAAGCGTCTATTTTCACACGTAGTTACCTTATCCCTGGAAGCAGGTCATTCCTTTCCCCCTTTCTGTCATCACAGAAGACTAGTTCAGGGACAGTTTCTTTGGGGGAATGAAAGAGTACACAGAGGTAGAATTCATTGATTGACAAGTTATTGTCCTTTATAACATTATCATCCAAAGACTGATCTTAAGGTATGGCCCTTGAATAACCACAGAGATAGGGGGCTACTTGTAGTTACGCAATTACAATCCAGCCTTACCAAATGATGAAAAAAGGCCCTGGAAAGCTCTGTCAAGGGACCATTCCATTTCATCTCCATGTGAGAAGTTTAACCTATCTGTTAATTTGGATAACTAGGACCAAAGAACTGTGTATAAATGGTTGATTTTTAAATGTTACAGCACCTATGAGTATTTGCAAATGAGAATTTTCATTTTAGTTTAACTTCAATGGCAATTTTGGAAAAGGCACTTTATATAAACCAGTGAATCCATTTCAATTCAACAGGTGACTTTTAGAGTTAAGT